CAAGGGATTCTTGGCCCGGTTGCTGGGTGGGCCTCCTGCACCACGGCGGGGGGGTGTGTGTGCTTTTGACCTCCCCAGACTCCTGAGGCTTTCCTCGTGCCTCTGGGAGGGGGAAAACAGCCTCCCCGGGCTCCGGAGGCTCTCTGGGAGCCGGAAACAGGCCCATTTCAGGCCCTCCCAAACTTCTGGGAGGCCTGTTTTTTGCCCTCCCTGGGCCTCCGTACGCGCCCTGCACTTACCTGCATCAAAAACGGGCCGCATGGGGACTTCTGAGAGGGGCGGGGCCAGCCAGGAGTGAGATTTCGCGGGGGGGGGGGGGGTGTTTTTCAAACTGCGCAGAATCTTAGCTAGGTGTCAGGATTTCGGCAGTTACTCCAATTAAATCATGAGCCTCGAGCTACACTCCCAAAACTAAAAAGGATTTATTAGAAGTTGACATTCCGGCATTAGCCTGGGCATAGCCAACTCTTGAGATATGTAATTCACTGTCACTCTTGATCCTTCTTCCCCCCCCACCCCACCCCCCACTCCTCTAGGTGTATCATCCAACGAAACACGTCCATAGCCAAGAGTCACCAATCATGCCCTCCAATTAGTTTTTTGCTCGGCAGAAGCTCCAGTCATCTAATCGGTCTCTGAAGAAAATATGAATGGAATGTACTTTCGATTCCACACTGCCGCCTCCTCTTTGAAACTCCCCCCCCCTCTTTTTTTGTTGACGCGCATACAAAATGTTTGATGAGTTGACACGAGGGGCTCTCGCAAACCCCCGTGAACCCCCAGCAGCCCACCCCCAAAATGCCTAGATTCTGACAACGGTTGTAAGTCGAGAACTATCTGTGTTGCTTTTGTCACCCACGTGGAACAAGGAAGAGGGCGGTCTTTGCAGTCCCAAATGAAGCATGAAAGTTCTGACTCTCATCCAAGCCTTTCTCTTCTTCCCGCCCCAGGTCCTTACTACCATGGCAATCAAGGTGTAGAGTCCAAGATTTCCCCCTTCTGGGTTATGCCACCTCCGGAGGTGAGTATGGACATCCAGAATTAGCCGGGTTGTGTGAAGCGCTGGCAGCTTTGAAGGATTTTAACTGGGAGGACCAACGAGGTGATTTAGGATAACAGAATAACAGACCTGGAGGGGACCCTGGAGGTCTTCTAGCCCAACCCCCTGCTCAAGCAGGAGACCCTTCAGCCTCTTTCTGCCTTAAAGCCACTGTGTGGAGGTTTAACTGACTCAGGAAGAGCAGGAGACAGTTTGGGAATCGCAGGGAAGGCTTCAGGGTGTTGGGGAAAAAATAAATAAAGAAAAAAAAAACCATTTGCCCAGGATACAATAACATCTCCAGGCTTGGGCAGGGGGTTGGGATCTCCAAGGTCCCTTCCAGCCCTAGGATTCTATGATTCTAGACTCTATGATTCTGTAATTCTATGACTCTATGGTTCTATGGCTACTATGATTCAGTGACTCTATGGCTATGAATCTATGACTCTATGGTTCTATGATTATGATTCTATAATTTTCTAAACTCTATGATTGTTATTCTATGGCTATGAATCTATGAGTCT